GCAAAGAAATCTTAGAATAAGCTGTTTTCAGATTGATCATCCTCAACAAGCTCAAAATGTAAAGGCGGTGGTGCACTGTAGCAATGAAAACTGTATTTTTTTCTCGCGAGATTGGGGATCAGGTGAGATCTTGCAAGTTTATGAATAACAATACCGCGAGATCTCGCCAGATTGGCAGTTTTGTGTGTTTATTCTTGCAAATAATCACATTATTTCAATAAATTAGGAAAGACTTGAAGGTATATTACGAAATAAACATTTATTTTTACGAATTTTTTCAGTAAACTTTTTACGTATTGAATATCGTTTGATGTATCTATCATTTTTTCAATAAACTTTTAAGTAGCAAACTTTGACCTATCTAATCAAACAAGAAATGAAATAAACAACTAGTCTTCTCTTCTAATATCAAACAAAAGTCTTTCAATAATGAAACAGTTCATTTATAATAAAACAACATGAAGTCAAAAACTGAAATAAAACTCATTAACTAAGTTGAGTTGACTATAAACTGAGGTATTATCAATTAAAGAAAACTATAGGTACCTACTCAGAGATCTACTAGAAACAAAATATACCAATCAAATAAAAGGCTTGTTCAGTTCACATCACACGTCATTATTACGAATTATTTTGAAAGTAGTTCCTTAAGAAGCACAAAATGTCCAAAGAATCGTATGCTAAATGGCTTATTTTGCTGGCCAGATAACCAGCCGCTGAGAAGGCCCTTTCGGATTCAACTCTAGTTGGAACCACAGATCTACCGCAGTCATCCGCGATCTGTAAAAGTTCGCCTTTTGACCCGGGATCCCTTTTCAATTAACACGCTTTTATTAGCTTCACCTGTATGTATGTATGTATGTATGTACGTTTGTTTGTTGCTTGTAACTCTCAAGCTCGGGATCTGTATTTGACATAATTATCGACATTATTGCTTGATCTATTCGCGGGCAGATGGCGCTGTACGTAATCGCCTTGATATATCGACATAATTGCTTGATCTATTCGCGGGTAGAGGGCGCTGTACGTAACCTTTTTAATATAATTCGAACTCACTTTACATGTATTTCTTCATTTGAAAAAAGTATTTATTTTATTAACAAGCGCGCCTGCTGCCTGATTTGTAACCCCCCTTTGCGCGCCTGTTGCCTTGGGCTTGGTAGCTGATTTTCAGGCTCCCTCCCCATTTACAGGTTGAAATGCCTTGTCTAAATTCACTAAAACCACATGTTCTTCCGCACTCAAAGAGTAGTTCGGCCCAGGTCGATCAAAGCATTGCTAACACACAGCTTCATTATATCAAAAGTAGAAATCATGTCTGGTAGACACGACCATCGAGTTTTACAATCAAGTTGTAACTTTGTCTTTTCCAAATTCTTGCTTTACGTATATTTGCAGAGTATCAGTTTCAGTAGGTGATCTTAGAAAACGTTTCACCAATTTCCTAACTTTCTTAATAATACCCGCATATTCTGCATCTAGGTCTACTTCTATTCTGGGGATAGAGATATCTATTTATATTTTGTCCATTCCAAAAGAAATTTCATCGTCGTTTACCTCATTTCCAGATTCTATCACAGGTTCCTCAACATCAGTTTGTTTTTAAATGTAATCTCGTCAAACTGGCGAGATCTCGGCCATTTTTCGGCCGAAATGAATCTCGCTAAAAAAGGGCGCGATCACGCGAAAACGAGATCCAGCGAGATAGAGATTGCATTCCATGTCCACTCCAAGGTTGACAGACCANAATGCGTTGTACCTCTCTCGGTTCTTTTTGGGAATTTTTAATCGCCACATGTCGACCGATAAGGGAAAGGGGCGATGTTTCTGGAATTCTGGGAATTCGTTGAAGGAACCTAAAGGTTTACAGATGTAGGAGTTGGAAAGCAATAAATGAATTGACAGAGCGCGTTCAGGGATGGATTAAGCACAATTTAAGTTGGAACTGAATAACTAATAAAGGATCAGAAGAAGCTTGTTGGAAACTGTGTTTCCAACAATTCTATTTGTAATGAAGAGGCGCCAGAAAAGTAGCATGCTGAAATTCAAAATTACTACAAATCTGCGAAAAAAGAACACATGTATCTCGTCGAAACTGCAAAAAAATATTCTATACTTATAGAGAAATCTGAAAATAAAAATTGAACCTCTTGGGAATCATCAACAAGCTAAAAAAATAAAACAAGTAACTGTTCTGACTTGCAAATTCTGCATAGTAATAGTGAAATTACCAACCCCAAGTTATTAGTTGACACATTCAACAATTTTTTTACTGAAGCACCAAGAAGCGTAGCAAAGTCCATCAAAAAAATAGGTAAATTTGATTTTTCGGGAAAAAGCAACATAAACTCTATTGTTTCGATGTCATTTACTGAAGATGACATGTAACATATTGTATCAAAACTGCAAAAAAAATGACTACAGGTCCAGATGAAATTCCCTCTGCCTCAATAAAGGAATTTGGTAAAGATATAGTCGGTATTCTATCCCATTTAGTAAACCATTCATTTCCATCGGGCATATTTCCAAACTGTCTTAAATCAGCAAAGTTAAATCCAGTGCAAAAAAAAAAGGAAAAAACAACATTAATAATTACAGACCAGTATCAGGCAAAGGTTGCAAAGGTGAACAAATATTGTATGCTAAACAGACTAGCTCCATCAATAAATACAGACTCATACCAGACCAGCAGCATGGTTTTCGGAAGAGAAAATCCACAACAACTGTAACAATTGACTTTTATAATGATGTAATGTCCGAGTTCGACAAAAGAATCTCCCCTGTTTAAATTTTTTGCGACTTAAGTAGGGTTTTTGACTGTATTCCTCATAAGGCACTGCTGCAAAAACTTTGGGGTTGTGTTGTGGCATACGAGGAATTGCAGCCAAATGGTACGAACCCTATCTTTCTGATAGAAGTCAGTTTGTCCAAATTTGTTACAAAGAAGTTGACGGATCTATTAGTAAACACTGCACAGGAGCTGGGAGTGCCACAGGGTAGTGTTTTGGCCCCAATACTATTTTCTTTATTAATTGCTGACATAGTGGAATTTTTACCTGAGTATAACATCATGCTGTATGCTGATTGTATGCTTCTTGTCTCTCAGAAATGCACTGAAATGAATGAACAAGCTTGTAACCATCTTCTTGGTAAACTAGGAGTATGGTTTTTAGCTAATCAACTACATTTCAATATAGAAAAAACTGAGTATCTAATATTTCATATCGATGAGATTGGAACCTTTGGTTCCAACAAAGTTAGCATCCTCAGGAGAAGAAAATTGATACCTAGTCTAGTTTGGTTAATCCTTATATACTAAAATTTGTTACCTGAGGTTGTATACCTGAAGTCCAATCTGGAATTTCTCGGTAATTAACTACCTGCAAGTTCTTAGTAACTATTCTCTTCCTAACAGAAGATTAAAAAGCGGGCTAAACGGGATGGGTCCCCTATCGCCATTCATGCTGTTCTTACATTTTGCTATTTCTAGACTCTCACATGCATTGAGTAGCCTGGTGTGATGCACATGCTTAATCAGTTTCAGATTGTTTTCAATACTACAAATCTGCGAAAAAAGAACACATGTATCTCGTCGAAACTGCAAAAAAATATTCTATACTTATAGAGAAATCTGAAAATAAAAATTGAACCTCTTGGGAATCATCAACAAGCTAAAAAAATAAAACAAGTAACTGTTCTGACTTGCAAATTCTGCATAGTAATAGTGAAATTACCAACCCCAAGTTATTAGTTGACACATTCAACAATTTTTTTACTGAAGCACCAAGAAGCGTAGCAAAGTCCATCAAAAAAATAGGTAAATTTGATTTTTCGGGAAAAAGCAACATAAACTCTATTGTTTCGATGTCATTTACTGAAGATGACATGTAACATATTGTATCAAAACTGCAAAAAAATGACTACAGGTCCAGATGAAATTCACTCTGCCTCAATAAAGGAATTTGGTGAAGATATAGTCGGTATTCTATCCCATTTAGTAAACCATTCATTTCCATCGGTCATATTTCCAAACTGTCTTAAATCAGCAAATGTAAATCCAGTGCATAAAAAAAAGGAAAAAACCAACATTAATAATTACAGACCAGTATCAGGCAAAGGTTGCAAAGGTGAACAAATATTGTATGCTAGACAGACTAACTCCCTTCATCAATAAATACAGACTCATACCAGACCAGCAGCTTGGTTTTCGGAAGGGAAAATCCACAACAACTGCAACAGTTGACTTTTATAATGATGTAATGTCCGAGATCGACAAAAGAAACTCCCCTGTTTAAATTTTTTGCGACGTAAGTAGGGTTTTTGACTGGCAAGTTCTTAGTAATTATTCTCTTCCGAACAGAGTAGCATCGAGTAGCCTGGTGTGATGCACATGCTTAATCAGTTTCAGATTGTTTTCACCAATTCTGTGGTCCTTGTCTAGAGCATGTTGGGTGACACTGGATTTTTCTATCCTTCCGTATTTCATGTGTGCACAATTCTCCTTGAAGCGGGTTTTGATCGCTTGTCGGCTCTGGCCGATGTATTTGCTGTTGCAATCTTGACAACTGATTTCGTAAATCCCCGACCTTTCTGTGTTTTCTAGTCCATCTTTTGGATTACCAAGAAGCTGTTGCAATTTATAAGAAGTTTTATATGCAACTTTCATATTTACTTTATCGAATATCTGTTGAATCCCTCTCGTGTATTGGGGTCCACAAAGAATAATAAACAATCCACTCTCAATCAAACTGGATGATTTAAATATTAATTATCAGAAAATCAACAACAAAGTTCTCGGGAATAACTCTGGAGGACGATCTCAGCTGGAATGAGCATTTTATAGCGACTATAAAAAATTAAATACAGAATTAAATACAGAAATATATCAAATTCGATGTATGCGGAATGTGGTTGATATCGGCCATTTGTGAATTTTCTACTTTGCTGAAATCCAGTATACTCTACCTTATGACATTTTACTATGGGGAAACTTCCTTATACCTCGTCTTCCGCCTGCATTCAGTCAACTCAAGTCCCTCACGGTTCTGGGGCTTAACGATATGTCACTTACAACACTACCACACGATTTTGGGCAGCTTACTTCGCTTACATCGCTCGAACTTAGGGAAAATCTACTGAAGGAGCTGCCTTCGTCGGTGTCAAAGCTTTCTAACCTGGAACGACTAGATTTGGGAGATAACGACATCGATGAATTGGTAAGATAATCGATTAAACAGAATTGATGTCATTTTTTATCGATTTTAAATATTTTATAAATTTTCATTTAGATCACTTGAGAAAGATGTGAATAAAAAAAACAGTAAATGTTCCACCTAATGAATGAACGCGGTGGAATCACCTCCAGGTTTCTCTATTCCCCTTCTTACGCAGTGCTAACTGGGTTTTTTCTGTGTCACATTTCTATGGTACGAAAACTGTTTTGACCCACGATTATTTTATCGTGAGTGCTTGATGCACACAAAAAATGCACACAAAAACTTTTGTGAAAAAATAGGATAAAAAAAATAACTGGCTAGATGTACTGTAGACACGATAAGATTTATTCTAATTGTACCGTTACAAGGTTTGAAACATAATGAATGATTTTACAAAATGCACTGTTTCACATCGGTAGTTAGAGAAGGGGTTTCAGATTCGTCGTTGTAGGGATAGACAGAGGTTTGGATTAATATAGGTAGGAGAGGTCATAATAGCGGGTAATTCCCAAGATAAGGGATACAAGGAACACTTTATACTCTAGGCTTTGTTTTCTAACTCTTTTCTTGTCCTATACCAGTTGGGTTCTTAGTTTATCCAATATTTGTCACATATATTGATAAAAAATATAAGAAATATGTCGAACACGTGTCAATTTTGAAAAACTTTATTCAGACTAACATGTCAATAATAACAACAAACATTAATTCAAAGATTTTTGCCATCTTGATCAAACCTACACAAGCGTCAAAGATAAAATTTACCTGACGTACTGTTTTGGCACTTTGCTTAAGGTTCATTTCCATTTTCTCCAACATTCCTCTTCAATTAAATGTATTTATGAGGATATTATATTGAATTGACAAAAAACATAAAAAACGGTGATTGAAATAATATTCATTCATCTCAGAAAAAAATTCAAAAATTTTGAAATTCAACTTACATATTCAAAGGATCTTTGTTTTTTCTGATACAGATCTTTAATAAAGTGATTTTTCATTTCAATATGTTCATCTCGTTTTGAATTTTCAAAACTTTTCATCATTGATATTGCACTCATATTGTCAGTTATCAAAGGATCGGTTTAAACTTTGTCAAAATGAGACACAATAACTTCCAGTTTTACAAATTCTTGAGCTGTTGCTCCTGCTGAGGTGTTTTCTGACTCCATTGAAGACAAAGCTACACATCTTTGTTTCCGTGGATGCCAAGAAATGCGATTCCCTGCATGGAAATCCACAAATCCACTTAAACTCTTTCGGGTGTGACAATCACCTCCCCAGTCTGTGTCGCAAAATCATTCCGAACCAGTCTTTCCTTTTGGATAACTCAAGCCCAAATATTTTGTATGTTTAAGATATTTCAATATACGTTTGCCAGCTTACCACGTTTGACTGGCTTGTTCAAATATTGACAGATATGAAACTTGTATGCAAGATCCGGTCTTGTGACAAGCAAAAGATACATCATAATGCACATCAATCTCCTGTAATGACCATCTTCAATAATGTTAGTATCTTCAACGAGCTGGAAATTCATTTATATAGGTGTGGCAACTCCGCGGCAGTCCTCCATGATGACTTTTTTAAGTTTCCGATCATTTTTGACTGGATGATTTCAAGACCTTCTTCATTTTGTTTCATCTCTATCCCCAAAAACGATCTCATCATCATATCATATCATGTAACAATCATATTCAGTAGGGTACAGCCCATTCGTTCTGACTTTCCATTCTTAATGGAATGGAATGGAGTACACTATAGCTCATAGTGTACTCCAAAATGATTCCTCGTTTCTTTGCATAGTCTTTGAAAAAAATTCGAACTAAATTCACCACCATTGTCTACACGAAATCATTTCTCTTTAATATTATGTTGTTTTTGAAGTTTCTGCACTTATTCTATTGAATTATTTTCTGCTTCATTTTTGTTCTAAGTATTTTTACTATCACAAAATGGGAAAAATTGTCAATATTATTTGAAAGTACTTCCCACCATCAAATGTAGATGGTGTTATAGGTCCACAAATATCACTATGTACTAATTCATCGATTGCATTGGTACGTCTTTCATTTTTATTGAATGGAACTCCTGAAAATTTTCCTGCAATACAAGTTTCATACTGTTTTTCTAAAAGATTCAGTTCTAGTTGAAGTAACGCTTCTCTCCCAGAATGATAAAATCTTCTACGACATGTTTCTTTTTCAGTCCAGAGATTACACTCTTGACGTTCAATAATATTGTCAATTTCTAGTATATAAAGGCCACTTTGTCATTCTCAAATGAAATTTAAATTATTACCACTGATTACATTTAAATATTTCTCAACAACAATTTTGTGATCTTTTGACGGTATCTTTGCATATATCAAATTATGTTTCATCTGAGGCACTATTAATGCTTCCAATTGATAACAAATGTCCTTAACAGTTGACCTTCGAAATTACTATTTTATTTGCACTTGAAGTTTGACCATTTGCAATATGTACTGTAATTGGATGTGTGAAATGTTAACAAATTACTATGGTGAGTCTGCTATGAGTAAAACAAGAATTCACGACTGGTGTAATCGTTTCCAAGATGGCCGTGAAGACGATGAATATGACGAAACGACCCAGTGTATCGATTGGACCTTGCCAATTTTTTTGAACATTTAGAAATTTGAATTTTGAATAAAAACGACGATGCCCAATTATCTACGGAAGAAAGATTTACGGATATGGTCTCGAAACTACGACCCAATCGACCCAGTGGAGGCATTCTGACTCGTCGTGACCCAAAAAGGCTCGACAAGTGCGATCAAAAGTGAAAGTTATTCTCACTATGTTCTTCAAATATAATGGTAAACATTCAATAAGAAATTCTATGTACAACGCAATTCTATTTACAACGCAATCTGAAAAACACTCTCGGATTTGTAAAAAAATAACTCGTGACTTTTGCACGACGATTGCACTTGAACACACCTCATTACTTGTTTGTGAATTTTTGGCCAAAAACAATACTATTAACCATGTCCCTGCCTCCACATTCGCCAGATATGGCTTTTGTGTGACGTTTTCCTATTTCCAAACATGAACCTTGAAGGGTAGTAATTTTACAAGGATAGACGCCATTAATAGCGCATCACTTGAACAGCAAAAGGCTATCCCAAAGAATGAGTTTGACAATTGCTTCGAGTATTGTAAGAAGCGCTGGCCCTATTTGGGGACTATTTTGAAGGAGACAAAATTGATGTTGATGAATGAATGAATTGTGTTTTAACCTCCTATAGTAGTAAAACAGTGTCGCAGTTTTATCAGTGAAAATCTTGCAATAAAGTGTTATTTAAATACGTCCATATTTCTGTAATATTATGTATATGAGCACCGAACGTTGAGCAGTGATTTATGTCCATTTTAATCAGTAGCATAGAAATAATTCATAACTTCTCAACAAATCTTTATTATGGCATTAATGAATATGTAAAATAGGCAATCTTGGGAAGTGCTCAGAAGCAGATTCGATTTTAATGAGTTTTTTTGAATGATTGCTTTCAATATTATTTGAAATCAGAAACCTTGAAGCAGGGACATAATTATTCATTTTTGTGTGATTTAAAAAAAATGCAATAACCAAATGCAATAGTACATTAGATATTTACTTAATAATTACGGTACCTAAAAGTTGATGGATGGATGAAGGAATTACAGCATTAGAAAGAAATCATAGATAAATAAGTTATACTTCAGTCGACTATTAATTAGAAAAATAATTGCCTCTGATTTCAAATAGTTATCTTTTTGCCAATCCTATTATTCAGGAAGTATTATTTTTCGATTGTTGAACTCGTAAGTAAACTTTTAATATGTCTTTTTGAAACATCCTCTGACACAGGTGTAGATATGACTTGAATGTACTCCAATTACACCAAAAATGTTTTAGAAATCATATCAAAAACTGTCGTGGGCATAACAAAGTTTTGAAAGCTTTTGCAGATCGTATTTCTTAGCACCTTGTGGTTTATCAAAATGATTCATTCACATCAACCATTTTTATTGTGAAGGAGTTGAATGTATTCGCGTGTATAGGATACCCACTTGAGCTTTATGCTCCTATCTAAATGGCTCTCCCAATAACATTCCCATCAATACTGCCATCTATGATTGATTTGGATTTGTATATAGTGCCCTCAATGACAAAAGGAATTATTTTCGTGCTTATCTGAATATTTTTCGAAACTCTTCAGCTTTATGATCTATAGGTAATTGCTTATCAGCTCCTCAAGAAATATTAGTTGAGTTCTCGTCATCTTTTCTCCTGAAATATTCGACGGAATTGTTTTGAAGGCTTTATGACAAATCTGAAATGACAAGATCAGATGTATTATTATCCTTACATATGAAGGACTAGGCAATTATTATTGCCAAACCATTATGGATTAGTTTCAGATTAGCCCTCTTAAAATTTAATTATCCCAATATCTGGAAATATTGTAAAATTTGTTCTATCTTTAAAAATTTTTGACATTGTTTTATTATAATATATTGATAACACTTCCAAAATACAAATCATGAAATTATTAAACAACAACAAAAATTAATTGCCGCTCCGGGGCGACTGCATTGATTTCAGTGGCGCATTTGCTTTTTCAGCCTCAGGAAAACCCGGAAAAACCTGCAGCACCACATCATCTGAAGATCTTGATCTGCCAATGTCCTCTCTCTCATGAAACAAAATGTAGGATGTCTTCATTCAATACATCACCAGAACACTTAGTGACATGACATCAATTGTAATACTGTGACTTCAATAAACTTTTTAAAATGGTTTTATGTGAGGTTGTATACAGGATGATAATTTGAAAACTTACCACCCTCTATATGTCGGTCTCTATAGAAAATTTAAAAATATGAAAAACATGTCAAACTTATTTTCGAGAGGAACATTTTTAGGCTAGTTTTCAATTAAATTACATCAAACCTCCAGCAGGAGCAGATACAACTCCTAAAATCTTAAATAGAAAGGACGGTTGAGTGATACTTCATTTTAAAAGCTGTTCAACTACCTTTTCGAAAATACCACATACCACAAGTAAAACCGTGAAGATATTCGAGTATCAAGTGTTCTGCAATAAAACATAAACAATTGATAGAAAGTAATTGTATTAAATATCGAAATGTGATGGAGTCTGCTCTCTAAGTCCTCTCTGACATAACAGAAAACTTCTATTTCTATTTCTCATTTTATTTTAATTCTCTCATTTGTAATCATTTTACCAATTATTTTATTTCAAATTGAATACCATCTTATCTTGGATTATTCTTACATCGATATTGATAGTTCATACCTGTTTTTTTTTCAGCCCTCCCACATTGGCAAACTCTCCGCTTTACAAGAGCTATGGTTGGACCACAATCAACTACAAAGCCTGCCTCCGGAAATAGGGCAGCTTAGTAATCTGACGTGTTTAGATCTGTCTGAAAACCGATTAGAAAATCTGCCAGAAGACATTGCTGGTTTAGAAAGCCTAACAGACCTTCACCTATCTCAAAACGTGCTGGAAATACTCCCAGACGGTATCGGTAAACTAGAAAAGCTGACTATCCTCAAAGTGGACCAAAACAGACTGACTTCTTTGAACGCCAACATAGGACACTGTCATAACCTCCAAGAGCTGATACTTACAGAAAATTTTTTGAGCGAACTACCAGTAGAAGTTGGCAAATTAGTAAAACTTACAAATTTAAATGTAGATAGGAATAGTCTAAGTTCGATTCCGTCGGAGTTAGGGAACTTGTGCGAATTGGGAGTACTAAGTTTGAGAGACAACAGACTGACAATGCTACCAGATACATTGGGAAATTGCAGGAGGTTGCACGTTCTTGATGTTTCAGGAAATAGGCTTCCTTATTTGCCATATACTATATTGCAATTGAGTCTAAAGGCTGTTTGGTTAAGCGATAACCAAGCTCAGCCGCTACTGACCTTTCAAACTGATACGGACCCTGATTCAGGAAAGACGGTGCTCACTTGTTTCCTTTTGCCGCAACAGGAATACCAGCCTACAATAGGTAAGTCGTCAAATATCTGATGGTGTTCTATATTTAGCTGGCATGCTTGAACAGCACTGCTGCTTTTATGTATTTGTAATTTGTCATTTATTTCATTTTTAATAAGATTGTAAATGGTATCTTACTATATTGAGAAAGACTGAACTGTCTTCATTTTTTTCTTTTGTGTTTACCACTTAGTTTTCAATATTTTTTTCAACTAGTAACCGTATTGTTTACATTAATGAATTAAAAATAACTAGTAGGGACAGAAGATGTTTCCTAGCTGGTCTGTTTCAATATAAACTTTGAAATGAATGAAATGCTTTATTCAAATAGGATACATTCTAATTTACAACAATGATAATAATGTTAACATTAATATAATTAACACAATAATAGAAAAAAAGATCTACTGATATTTGTTAATAAGTAGTCTTACCTACGATAATTGAAAATACAAAAAAAATATACATAATAATTTGGTATAACCTTAATGGTCTCTTATATGGTCTAATAGATTTATTTTGAACATAATAAGACTGTTAGAAGACTTTACATTTTCAGATAGACTCATACTTAATAAATTCTTTAAAAATTAATGTTTTAGTGTTGAACGTTTCTGTTTGATTATTTACATACAAATTATTTTTTATTCTAGTATTATACTGATGGATTTGATTATCAAAAATTAGAAATTTGTCAAAATATGAAGGTAGAAGGTTATGCAACATTTTGTAAATATAAATCATTGTTAAATAAGTAAGCCTACTTTCTATAGATAACGATTCTAGAGTATTTAACATTAAAGATATATGGGTACTCCTGTCACATCTCAAAATAATCCTCATTGCACGATTCTATAGTTTTTATAGTGTTCTCATTTTATTTAAATCACTTGTGTATGGAAGAGTGGGACAATATTCGAAATGTGGATGTATAATTATATACAGTAATCCGTGATTGCATAATTAAGTGTTGGGACACTCTTGTAAAAAAATATAATTTCTTCAAATTTTTTTTCTGTATGTAAGTTATTCATTAATTGATGCTTGTCCAACATGAATCCTAGATATTTGAATTCAGTAATAAGCTCAATTTTGTCATTTTCTATTTTTATTTCAATTTGATTTAAATCTAATTCTCTGTACTTAAACGATGTAGTAAATACCATAGTCTTTGTTTTGTTGACATTTAGCTTCAATTTATTAGTTTTCGAATATGTAGCAATATTATTCAATATTCGTTCATTTTTTTAATCACATTCATTACGTTTGCTGATAGCAGTAATGTAAATTAAGAATAGCAATGGCCCTAAAATTGACCCTGCGGAACATTGTGGTCTACGCTTATTGGCTGTTTAGACAAACTCGTTACTTTTGGTTACCTGCTTCATTTCTGTAAGGTAATTACTGATCCAATCAAGTACTTTTCCTTTGATGCCTTATTTTTTTTAAATTTTTTAATCAATATTTTACGATTAACTGTTTCAAACGCACGTTTAAGATCTAAAAATACTTCTTTGATTGACGACTTGTTTATTTTGTGGAAATTCATGTTGACAGAGGATACACTACAAAAACACACTTTTGTCTATTTTCCACGATATTTCTTTATTGTTAACTATTTTCGGCTATTACACCATTTTCAAACTCTAAAAATACTGCTGCTTACAGTAACTGTAAGCTGAAGTGCGGATTCACATGAATATCTGTATCTAAAACCAGATTATTTTGTGAATAGTATGTTTTTTTTATTGATATACAGTTGTTGATATACTATCGATTTTAACAGTTTTTCAGCACAAGGTAAAGTGTTGATTGGCCGATATTCATCAGATTTTTTGTATTTGGAACTTTTTCAAAAGGCGTAACTATACTGGTTTTTACATCATCTGGAAAACTACCATTTTGTAACGAGGTGTTCACAAAAGGACACCACACATGTCCAATTACTTCAAACCTACTCTTTATAATTTTACTCGATACTACATCTACTTGTGATCCTTTGTCGGCTAAATTGGATACAATTACTTTCAATTCTTAGAGAGTGAGTATTTTAAAATTAGTGAAACCCTTTTCATCAACGTATTTGATGTGACAGGTAAATCCAATATCTTCAATATCAGAAATAATGTCTGTAATTGTTTACAAAAAAATGAATAAAAACAATTAGCCAATTCCTGTTTTTCTATAATGTTACTTTTTGATATTTTTTGTCAAGTTGAATACCAATAGCAAGATAATTAGTGAACTGTTTCGGATGGGTTAATTTTTTTAGTTTTCCACATTAATCGCGGGTTGTTTGTTGCTCTCAATCTGATTACCATAAAATTGACTTTTCTTCACCTTTATAATATTTATGACAGCATTACGTTTATTTTTATAATTATGCCAATTAACATCATTAACATTTTTTTTAAATAACTTGTAAGCAAAATCTCTCTCTCTTTACTCAATCTTCTGATTTGACCATCATACTTAGGCAGATCTTCGTAAAAAGTAATTGTTTGCAAAGGTGCAATTTCATTTAAGATGTTTCAACAATTTTCTTCAATATTATTATGAATCTGATTCACATTTGTATTGTTAAGTCAAAAGTTACAATCTATCAAATTGAGATTGATGTTGAACAAAACTCTTTCACTATAAAAATATTTATAAATATAAAGGGCGTATATTGCCATAATCCCATTATTCTTGAAAACCAAATCTACACGATTCATTACATTTCAAATTATTCATCATTCTAATACCCTTTTCCGAATAACGAATATTTTTACAGTCTTACTGTTGCTTCCATAAAATATGTTTCCATATCTAGTTACTTACTCAAAATTGGTATAGAATTTGTGCTGATTTTTTGTTGAGATGGTTATGAATCACTTTTAGTCCATATGAAATTTTTGCTCAATTTGTTAGATGTGTAATCAAGATGCTTGTTCCATTTCAAGGATTCATCAATTTCAAGTCCCAGACATTTAGTGTCTATTAATCTGTGTTTGGATGATTATATCAATCGTTTATGTAAATAATAAATAAATTGATGGATGTAGCAATACTTCTTTGTGTCATTCTTGCTTTCACTACAGCATTCTCGGATTTATGTGGGTTATCCAGGTTATTACTGAATATGTTACATTCATGTAGGAAACTGGTAATGTTGTCAATTATAGCTAGCTGAAATAATTTGGCAAAACTTGGTAAGATGTTTCGTCTCTAAAAGCACCCAAACAGTTCTCACAAAATGGTTTAATATTTTACGAAATGGTTTAATATTAAATCACATATCAAATCACTTCCAATTCGTCAACACAACAGAAAAGTAAATGAAAACTGGCATTCAATATACATTAATGGGTTGATTAAAAGACAATTATTGATATCCTGAACGTTTGATTAATCTAAAAATTAGGTATTGAAAGTCTGAAAGAAATTCGTCATATTTTTTTTTTCTAATTAAGAGAATTCCTTGATTTTTTATATCTTGATTATATTTAAACATTCCACAATAGTTCTGAGTAAGTTAATAACAAACCTACATACATTATAATTAAAACCTTTCTTGTAGAGACTTGTTGAATGTTTTCGAGTCCATACATATAATCAACTATGGGAATCAAAGAATGATCTATATTTGTAAACAAAACAAGACACTTCATAAATAAAAAGTGATGTCATAAATCACTTGACTTCGGTTTATTATTCCCTATTTTGAGTAAGCATGAAAATATCCAAAATATAAAACTATCTAATTTCGATATTAAACATATAAATATATCAAATTAAATGGGTTATATTTTTAGGAGTCATTAATTTTTGGGAAAGGAAGTTTTGGGCCTTCTACTACTCCATCTTGATACAAAAAATTTGGGAATCTTCCAAAGAACGGAAGGAAGCAATCAATTTTAAAAGAAGTAACTCTATACATAGATGTGTAGATCATACAAAGAAATAACTTTCAGACACAAACCGGAAGAAAAAGCCCTTCTGAAACAGCTACTTTCATATAAAAATTGAATTACACGAAAAAAAATCTTTTGAAACAAATAATTTTATATGAACAGTGAATTATACAAAAAACACTATTCTCTACTCAGTTTGTATTTCAAAAGTTCATTATGAAATTGAATCAGATATCAATCACAGGATTCCTACACAATATACTAAGTGAATCATCCTCACTAGTAGCATCGATGTTTTGCTGCCTTAGGGCTCTTCAGTACCAGATTCGTGTAATTCAGTGTTTGTATGAAAGTAGCTATTCCAAGAGGGCTATTTTTTAGTTTGTGTCTGAAAGTTACTTCTTTACATGATCTACACATCTATGTATATAGTTACTTCCTTTGAACTTCCTTTTTTCTTTGGAAAATTCCCATATTTTTTTGTATCAAGATGGAGTAGTAGAAAGCCAAAACCTTTCTTTCCCAATAAATATATTATTCTGCTAGTAAATGGGCACACAAATATTTCTGAGAATGAATGCAGACTGTATGAATCAATTTGTCTTCAAATTATTGCACAATTTGCTTTGCTTTGAATTGAAGGGGTTAATATTTGCTTTGCTTCTACTTCAGTTTTGTACATATGCATCTCAGATACATGACTATCCAACAAGAAAGGCAGTCTCTGCCTTTCAGAAATTTCATCTACCCGGAACTAATTTCTCCATTCTGTAAAGGGTTGAAGACAGGTTACAAGAAAAATTAAGAGTCTTCTACTCTTATTCAATCTTGAGAAACTTGTGTATTTTATAAAATTATTATAGATATTTGTGCTTGTGTTTATATGTATGTTATACATATATGTTGAATTCAAACAATAAATATACAATTGTTTTCTTGCTGAAGTTTCGAATTTAATAAATTCTTCTTCAGGGCTCGAAAAGTAGTTTCTTTGCGTTGACTATTGCTATTTTATGAACCATCAGACATATTAGATACATACTTTAAAATATTAAAAACATTGTAACAACCAAATTTCCGAGAATGTACTTTTCTCGACCTGAAGAAGAATTAAATT